GATGGATGGATGGATGGATGGATGGATGGATGGATGGATGGATGGATGGATGGATGGATGGATGGATGGATGGGAACATATATCCTGATTTAGGAATGAAATTGGAAAAAAAAGCAAAAAATGTGTTAATGCAGCACCAGTCTCTATGATTATCACTAAACAGTGGGACTTCTAATTTTCTAATTGGGATTTATACAATCATTACAATATTTTAAAGATTATTTATGCACAATCTAGAAATAAAAATCAGGGATAGAAAATATGGGTTTATTTTACTTACATATTTTGTAGCATTTATGTAGATTTTGTTAGAAGTCCTATCAAAGTACTACAATCTAGATACAGGGAACAAAGTGACATTTTTAAGGCAAATATTTTTGGGGGTATTTATGCTGAAAATGACAAACGTGACAAATAAAGTGATATGAAACTACAGAGGGGAATAATAAAAGAAAAGTTTTATCAAGACAAACTCATTCACAATAAAATAAATATTGACCAGGAATTATGGGTATTTGTAGTATCCGTTCTGATGGTGATGATAATGATGTAAGCTTGAGCTAATGAGCTAATGATTAAATTTGAGATGGACAAACTGGACACAATAGGCAATTAAGATATTTTATGGTCATTACATTGATGGCTTTAAAAGTGAAAAGTAGGGAGAACTGATGTAGTGATGATCTTTGGAAAAATATCCTTTGTTATTTATGATGATGTTTTATATTACAGTTAAACTTACAAAATTAAGGATGGCTAAAATTAAATAAAGTTATAATATGATAATTTATGGTTATAGGGGTAGTTGTTTTATGTCCTAATAAGTGCCAAAAGGAAAAGGCGAAAGGGACCTAAAATTCCATCATAATATTTAGTGATATTTATAGCAGTTTAATATTAAGTCACCTTTAAACTAATCTAAACTAAGAATAAGTAAAATTTCCAAGCTATTTCTTTAAGGGTTTTATAAGAAAAATTTTATGATTTTTAACAAAGTTAACCTAGACAAGGATTAAGTGAAATTGAAAAGATTTCTATCTAAATATTTTGTGGACAAAATAAAGTCAAGATTAATCATAGAAATTAAGGATATAAACCTTAATCATCAAGACATTTTGTATTTTTCGAAAATCATCAAAAAAGTTCAACAAGGTACAGAAGGAAAAAAAAAAACAAGTGAGGAACTTTGTGAGAATAATGGAAATTTCCATTTATATCCCAACAAAAGTGATCCAAGTTATTGATGATATAAAACAAAAACTTTTAAAGTGATGATAATGTAGGTCAAAATACCAACTAAGATGGGCAAAACCTGACTTTATTACAGCATTTCATGATGATCCATGGAGGGTAATATAAATAAAAAAAGTATTGAGAAGGCAATATTAATTAATCAATTATCAACAGTTTATGATTATCCCAGGATGACTAATTGTCAACACAATGACTTTTTTTCAGTAATAACATTCCCCAAAGTGCTTGAAAAGGGAGAATATTTACTAATACATTTAACACGGTATACAATCCTAGTAAGCAATATGTGTTCTGTGTAAAATAAAGTACAAAGATTGAAAAGGCTGCTTTGGTACACCAATTACAATAAGCAGTCAGCAATTAGATTAAAAACAAAATACCTGAACAGTTGGTTGAGATCCTGATGGACCTGACAGTGGAGGATTAATTAAAAAAAGCTAAAATGATTACATAGAAATTATTAAGATTTACCATTCCCATCAAATTTAACTCCCGTATTTTACCAAAAAGTCACAACTGTCATCTCAAGTCACTTTAGTCCAATTCAAATCTAGTTATATACATACATAAAAATTATATGCATATATAAAAATGTTCCAGTGCAATCTGTTATTTTTCTGCAGAGGAGGTTTAATTTATTTCTGTGATACCTGAGAATCCCTGCATACCGTAACTGATATAATATTGCCCATACCTAATAAATATCTTCTAATTACTGACATTTCATGGTATGAATGGTTGAGGAGATAAAATAAAAAGTTCTTGTTCATACATAGGCAGGTGATGAGATGGCTGTGAAAATATCTATGATTGATTTGTATAAATGTATTTAAATTCAAGTCTTTATAAAATTAGATGTTTTTAGCTGAGGTAAATATTTTCCTTGGGTCTAATTTAATCTAAGGAGAAACTAACAAGGATGGATTCGATTTTTTTTTAAGCTTTCTCCATCTCTTCTGATTTTTTTTCCATAAATTAGACCTCAGTTACATGATTTTGGACACATGTAGGTGTCTATAGACATGTTGCTGGTTTTATTTCCAGGTTTTTAGGCTATGTCTAATGTCGTGGTTGTTATTATTCTTACTGTCACTGAAATCATGTAGCAGGTTTCTTTCAAAAAATAATATTACAACATTTTTATAATGTTGTTTTGATTTTGATATAATTGTCAGGCTGCAAATGTAAATTAAACAGCTTCTTAAGTCTACTAGAAAGTTTGATAAGGTAACAGCTAAAATTAGCTCAATAACTAGTGGAACTATCAGCATAGGTTGTGCTTGTTGCTTCCAGCTGAGTTGCTTTAAAATAGAGGTTTCTTTATAATTTTGTTTATTATGACAGGAAATGTTTTAACAACTACAAAATTTCAGTTTTTAAAGCATAGGAAAAAGTATGGCAGCCTATTTTTATGCGAGCTGAATTGCAGTGTGTGGCAGGTGTGGAAGTGGGGACTGCCACATTACTCTGTGCTGCACACAGTCTAACAAAGGTATTTAAAGACAGTGAACAGTAATGACCCTTTGTTGGAAAAAAAAAAAGGCATTCAAACTAATTTTATTAGCACCCTAGTATACCTTGAAACTATTAATTGGGCAGTTCTGACTAGTATTTACACATTTTTATGATTTTAACTGCAGCCTCTTTGGTGTGCATCCTGTACATTTAGTCTAGAGGAACCCCACACCTCAAAACACCAACTCCAACTTAAATCAGATTCAAAACTATTTCAAATTAATCATAATTTCCCAAACCTGAGTGTGGGTGTTCTGTTCTACACCTAATACATCAAGGAAAATACTATTATTGGCAACCAAAAAGTCGGTTCAGATTGGTTTGTTAAAGTCCTCACAAGGGACACAGGTGCAAACAAAACTATGAGACATATCATTATGTTGTGTCATGAGGTACAGGATAGTTTCATAAGGCGAGACAGCCTAGGCAATAGAAAAAGCAGATTGGTTGCTTCTTATGTTACAATCTCCTTACACATACTAAATAAAGATGTACAATGTACAGTCATGCCACTTCAGTTTTTACTTATTTATTTTTTTTACTGAGTTCATGTTGCTTGCTGACACACAGCTAGACAGGGTCAAGGATACATCTGACTCACCTCAGACCTCTGCTTTCCCCCCGGAGAATGGCCTGTCACTCACTTTATGGTTATGGATCATAGCTGACAGAGGCACAAAGTGAGAGCTCGATGCTGCATCAACAGCACCAACATCATCGCCAAAAAAAACCATCCTTAGTGTGACATCTTCCTCCTAGTCCACCAACACAGTTCTTTCTGCACCTAGGAAAGAAAAAAAAAACATTCAGGCACCAAGAGCTAATAATAAAGTGTCATTCAACAGGAGCAGGGGAGAGCAAAAAATAATGAAATATAGACATTTACCTTTAAATTCTGCACACTGAAGCTCAGACATAGCAAGTGTGGCAATAGAGCTGTTAGGAAGTGGCAGCCAATGCTACAAAGCTTAAAAATGACAGGGAATATTTCTTAATATAAGCCCTTTTTGCACAGACTGTGTAATAGTATAACAGCGTCAGAGTGCTGTAGAAGATAGTCTTTAATTGGTATTAGTTAGATGACAAAATAATCATATCCATAGAGATGTTTGCCTAAGAGCAAAGGGTTTTGCCTATCTGTGATCATGAGGCTTTGTTCTTTTTTCTTGATTTAAATTAGGATGGATTTTAAAACAACAGAACCCCGAACAAAGACATCAAGCACATATACATTCCATAAATAATTTAGAGACTTCCCTTTTATAAAATGACATATAGTTAGAAAAATAGATAAAGCACTTGGTCAAAATACTGCAAAAAATGCATCTAATCATTTTGAAATAAAAAATATATCAAAAACAGACTGGACAAAGAGCAGCAGCATAACTAGGCAGTTAGACTGAACACTGAATTTATATATTAATATTGTTTGGATGGCTCTTTGGAAATAATAAATCAAATTTTTAGTTTGTTATGTCAGCATAAAGAAGCTTTTAACTAACAAACAATTACATTTTGGTAGATTGTCGAGGCTGAGAGCAAAACCTACTGTAAGCGCACAATCCCCTGGCTGTAAACATCACTGCCTGGATTATGATTAAATTTAGCTAGGGACAATAAAAGTACTAAAAGTATAAATTTAATAATGTACCAAAAATAAAACACATTTGAAAAAAAGAAAATAAATTAAAATATATGGGTAAAATAAAATAAAGAAATCAACACAATCGGGTTGCATTTACATATTTTTTTAAAGATATGCTATTTTAAAATGAATAAATCTGTAATTTAGCTCAGTACCTTTTAAAACAGAATATTTTTTTGCAAAATAACTCAACACAACATGGAACTGTAGCGAGAGCGCCATAAAAGTAAGTTAGTGTTTGAGTTTTAAGGTTTTGTTACAGGTTTCGTGTTTTTTGGCAGCATTAGATTTACCCATCACATGCATAGTAGGTACATATGTATGGCAAAATTCTGTTGAATTTTAGAAAAATTCAATAGAATTTTGCCATACATATGTACTAAATTTGAACAAATTTAGATGTTATTCCTTTAGACTAAAGTCTGGACCAAAATGGTTGCATTTCCAACCAAAAAATAAGGTTCTGGTTGCTGAGTTGGCGTACGAGGCGAGCTGAGGCTCAGCCGACCGTGCTGTAGCTCACAGAGGTGGGCGTCTCCCTGTTTTTTTCTTCTACCCTCTCACTCATTTTGCTGCATGCTGCCATTTTAACTCACTCCTGAGTGGCAAGCCAGAGGGCGTGGTTGATGTTGGCGACGGCCATGATGATGGAATCACCATAGCAACTCCTGGGCAGAAGCTTCATCATCCATAAGGTCCTAATGCTACATTATGGTTCAGATCCAAACTTGGGGGCGGCGTATTACAGGATTCGCATGTGATGTCACTGATGGTTTGATTTTTTTTTTAGAAAATAAAAATACTTATTATGCTGTCCTAATTTCATATTTGCTTGTTAAGGTTCAAAATATTCAAATATTTATACTCATTTTAAGTTTCTACTTCAGTTTCTTCTTTTAAAACTATCAATTTGAGTATTTTTTACAAATTAAAAGCAAACCTCTGAAACTTTTAGTCTCTTTCTCTCACCAACTGAAAACAACTAAATAAAACAGCTAAGGTATTCAGAGTGAAGACATTGAATCCAGTGTCTTATATAATCAGACAGAAGTTTAAGTGTTGCACAAATATATAAATTTGTTACTGAACATTAATGCATAAATATAAAAGGTGTGCCTGAAAAGCTAAATTAAAACTCCTCTAATTTGCCATTTTGAACAGTAAGGTGATCATTAAATTAAAATGAGTATCTGTTTTTTAAAGGTTTAGGCTTTGAAACATGTGAATGCATGTTGGTGCTCATCCTCAAGGATCACGTGTATAATAACAAAAAAATGAACAATTATTTGGCAGATAATTGCTTTCTAAAACATCAATCCTCAAAATTTGAAAAACAAATAAACATATGCTCTAACTGTCTTAAAAAAATCATTAATAATGCCACATTTGATGTCAATCCTAACGATTTGTTCAAAATAAATGTAACTGAGCCATAACTGAACCATGCATTTCTATTCTAATTTGGCCTTTAAGCTAATAATCATGACTTCCTGTTTCTCTTAGGTATAAATATGGTTTAACAAAGAAACATTTTTCTTAGCCACTCGTTAAAATGGTTAAAACAATTAAAAGAATCAAAAGAAAGAAATTATAATTTAAAGGTATCTTTTCTCACAACAGTATAATCTTACACAGAAAATTGTAGAAAATCTAACTTTCATTTGGGTATGGTAATTTAGTTAAAAATGTTGGAAAGACAGGAGATTTTGCTTTTTAATAACATTATATACTATAATTGCTTTGATAGGAACTATAACTATTCTTATAAGGTAAACTACCGTAACCTAAACCTTTTAAATATACTTATATATACTTATAAATATATAAGGAATATTTTTAAGTTGGTCATTAAAGATCTTTGACTTAGTAATTCTTGAACTTCTGTTTTTATTAAGTACAAAACTAATTTGAGAGAGGCCAATTTATCTTAGTCACTTGTGCTTTTTGATCAAAGTAAATAATCTTTTCTTACAAAAGCACAATTGAATGCTGAAATTTTAAAAGGTCTAAACTCAAATTTTACTACTTATATTCAATGGGAAGCAAGAAACCACTGTTTCAATAAAGATTACTTTTCAACACAATATTCCAATAAAGTAAGGAAAATTTGTAATAATTTTCATACAGCAGAAAATTAAAACAAAAACAAATCCTAATGGCCTAAATTTGTATTTAGACACTTATCAAAAAAAAAAAAACAGAAACAATTTTTACAAAAGTTGAAACTGTGACACAATCTTGAACAAGGATCAAAGTTTATCTTGCTATCAAACACCGTGAACAGGATAGAGAGAAAAAGCATATGAAAATGAGAGTCTTCAAGGCTCCATAGCAACTATCTTTTTTATTTTATTTTACAATAACATAAGATATAGAGGCTACTTACTACAAACAGGAGAATAAAACTCCGCAAACCCATCCAGATGGCAGTCCAGTGAAATACTTATCAAATCCTGCATTAACAGAGTTTCTCATGATGAAGAACAACAAATTTGTTTTTAAGCATGAGGCAATAAATTCATGCCTGTGGTCTTTCTTAGCAGCATGTGTTTAATGTGGGTTACATCCATATGCAGCCCCACGTCCCCAACTCCAACTCTGAAAATTATAAAGAAAAAAAACTGTCTTCCTTGACTGACCATGGCATCTCCTAACCAACTATGTTTGAGGTCAAAGTTCATTATATCCCTTGGCAACACCACAGCAACAAGAAACAACGGTGTCTAGACAGGTCATGATGCCCCCCTCCCTTTCCCCAGCAGTGCCAACACCCCCACCAATCCTGGCTCCTTCCGGAAGGAGGTGTCAGTGGCAGCCAAGTACAGGGTAAACAGGGCACGGTGCAGGGGAGGGGGGTGGCCTTTGGCCCGCATGGGGTCATATCAGCACCTCCACCCTCCATTGATCAAAGATGAGGATCCTCCATACCAGGATCTTGGTCAAAAGAGGGCAGGGTCAGGAGATGAACCCTGCGTTTCTGTAATCTAGACGTGTCCAGGCTCAATTGTCTTCTTTCACGCCTCAAAATGGACCCTTCCGGTGCTACTGATTACATTAGGGAGGACACCTTTTTTTTTTTTTTTTTGTCAGGGGCTTTCAGACAAAGAAGCTCTTCCATGCTCCTTGCCATCTGGTCCCCAAAATAACAGAAAAGGTCCAAGGAAAGAGAGAGAAAAAAAGAAAAAACTAAAAAAAAAGATCCCTGCAAGCACACAGCTTTAAATGAAAAAAAAAAAAAAAACTGTTTGAATAGATGGGATGGCTTGACAAGAAAGCAAACATACAGTAAGACCTCATGTTTAAGAAGAGATTAGAAGCCAATCTACATCAGCAAATAAAGCAGCATACGTGAACTTGGATAAGTATGGTTATAGAGTGTAAGGTGTGCCACAGATACACACAAACCATGAAGGTATAGAGAGCCTTCATCAGGTTACAATGAGCTATGGTGTCAGTGTTGGTTCTTAAATACATGGCACTCTGGGCAAGCAACCTCTTTCCCAAAATAAGGAAGAGATAAGATTTATTTTTAAACTAAAATTAGCCTTTTTTCAACAAATGGAGTTCAGCTTTTAGCTGTCTTATAAAGAATGTTTTAATGTGCAAAAAGTGTAAAATAATCAACAGTCTAAATATTGCACCCTTCATAGAAAAAAAATCCTATTTTCTTAAATCAAAACAGTATGCAAATTTTAAGGCTGTATCTAACAGAGCCCTTTGGATTAAAGACGTATTCTTCATCAAATACCAACTTCAGAATCACTAAAGAAAAGAGCCTAAATATCTGACAGAAGAAAATAAAGTGTGCAAATCAGATCCAAACATACAACAATAGGAACAGAATCCAGTATGTTCTCTGGAAGTTCGTTAGTGAATTAAACTAATAAAATACATAAATTTTTTATATTATTCTTATTAGTCTTATTCAAACATTAATATTTTGAATATTTTAATATGTTTAAGCATAAATATCAACAGATTTGACTCAATAAATGGTGACGCCTGAAAACATGGCGCCCTCAGTAGTTAGCCATCTGAAAATCTGTATTGTTACCTCACAAACCGTAACAATACTGAAAGATATACACAACGTTAAAAGATAAACAATTATCAAGAAACGGAGAAAGTAAAATGGATCTACTAAACAGACGACTGAAGATGTATTGAATTTGAAGAATTTTTAATAAATTGTATGACTCCATGTCCATCAGTTTGCAATTTGCACAACTGTTTAAGCCTTTGGGTCTTTAAGTCCCTTAGGTCACTTCACCCTGGTTTGATTTGTTTGCTCTTTGACCACTTAGAATGTTACAGCCGCATTCAAAACTGCATAAAATACAACTTCTTGAGAAAAAAAAAAGTAGTTGGTAGTGTAATCTAACTCATCATTGCGATCCAGGTTTGGATCAAAATGTTTTTTTTTTTAAAGTTAATTCATCATTTATCCCTCTTTACTCCGTGAGAGTTATTAGAGTTTCACTTTTTGCCTTTTTTCGACAAAAGTTTCCAAATTATTCATCTTTGAAAATGACAAGCTGATGACTCCCCATTGCCCTCTTTTGAAGATTATGTCCAATTTAAAATCCTGCACATCTTTGTTGAGAGTTTAATAATGTGCTCTGTTCACTTCACTAACCTTCTTAAAAAGGTGTTCGTGTTCAACATGCAGTCACTGCAGGTGTGATACCCTGTTTTATATCGTCACACAAATATATAACCTGGGATTTCTGAAGCTTTATTTGGCTAATGCTTGATTATGTGCTCTGCTGTGCGTGGCCTGTTTTTTTTTTTCTCTCTCTCTCTCACTTTGAGCTCGGATGAAAATTTGGTGAATAAACAACCTCATTAGTGGCAGAGGTGATGCTGCCCTTGTTCTTGAATGGTTTTATGAGGATGAAAGGTGGATGTACAGCTCTGATGAGGAAACTTTGATATATGTAACTGCAAATGGCATATTTTTGTAAAAACGTTTTTTTTCTAATTGATTGGATTTCAAGCGATTTGCAAAATTCAGAATCTTTTACCCAGCTGCCTCTCCTAAGAGCTTTTTTATTTCTGCTCTATTTAAACCTCTATTCACTAGTATTACAGCCCTAACTTATCAACAACTCGGAAATTATATTTTCTTTTAAATTGATTTAACATACTCAAGCTTTCAAACCTCAAAAGAATTGAAAGATTTAAAAACACTTTGCAAGACCAAACGGTTGAAAATATCTAATTTTTTTTAAGTTTAAAAAATAAATGTTATATTTTTTGCTGAAAAAAAAGGCCAAACTTCAACATTTCTTGTTATGGTGCAGCGAACATTAAGTCAATATTGCTGTAAGAGAGCAATCCTGACAAAGCAAATGTATTATTTGTACTGTGAAATACCTTAAATATTGTAATGCATTTATAATTTGTTGTTATGATTTAATTTAAAAACTAAAATTTAAGAATTAAAACAACAGGCCCCTTCATTGATATCCCCTGTAAAGAAACACAAAAAAGCCTTGAAATAAATTGATTATTTTTAACTGCAGCACTTCATCTGTCACTGAATAATTTAGAAAAAGCCAACTTTAATTTAAGTCTATTTACTCTTTGGAATAAAAAAAAGTCCTTTATTTTAAAAAAACAATGTTTAGTAATAATAATGAATGTCCAGGAGTGTGCTAAAAGTTTTACTCTGTAACCCATAACTTCCGGTTCCCCCGGAGTAAATATGACAAGAGAACATCCCTGTTGAGTGGAGGGAGATCGGGTCGCATCAGTCAGAAAACTGATACCAGAAAATAGCCAATCTTCTACCTTGCCAATGTTTATTTTCAGAATTTTAGCTGAAATATTGTAAATAACTGGAAATAAAAGTGTTTCTAAACTCAGGTTTATCTTGCCATCATGCAAAGTTAGCTACTGGGAATAAAAAAACAAAAGGTCCCTGGAATAATTTAAGAAAAAGAAATGTAAAAGTTCTTCATCTGAAAAAAAATATGTTAACAAAATTTTAATGCTTTATAATAAAATGTTACATGTTGAGTTATCCCCAACTCCACAAATGCATCAGACACAATTACGTGATATGAAACTTTAACTTTGACTCTTTGAGTGAGTGTTAAAATTGAATTTTTGGGGCAAATTCATTTATTAACTCAGATTATTTACTTTAATTAGAATGCATCTATTGACTAAACCATTTTGAAAGGCCGCCAAGACAATTGGAGCCCTTTGTCACACACCCTGTATACTACTGGGAAACAGGAAGTCAAAGATTACTATCAGAAACATTTGACCAACGTTTCTTTTTTTATAGAAATATTTTGAGACGTCACCAATTTAATAAAATACATAATGTTCCAATTCATATCTACCTTCAATTCATGGGAGGTAGGTATGGGATGGTTACCAGTGAAGTAAACATGAATATTTTTATATGAATTCAAAATTGCCTTGACAAAATCCTTTTTGCGACTTTTATTCAAATGAATTCTGATCCTAAAGTAAAAGAACCCTACCCCTATCCTTATTTAGCCGTGTGCTTCCTGTAAGATGACTGAAGCACTAAATTCACCTCTTTGGCAGTAATTCCTGTTGAAAAATCTGGGAGTAAGTAGCCCCTTGGAAACTTAATGAGCAACCATGTACAGTTTCCTACTCTAAAATAAGCAGTATGGTGAAAAGGTATCATATTTTCAGCAAATTTTGATTCTTTTCTGTATCAAACTAACAATTAACTGTTAAAAACATATATCAGTAATATATGGCATTTTGTCAAATATATCATTTTTCTTTTCATCCAAATGATGAAAATGGTACATTTTTCTCATGGTTACACCACGAGGCTCTCAAACCCTGACTAACCTGGGATGCTAGCAAACACAGAGCAGGGGGTGTTTTATGGAGTGAAATATAGTAATACATATATTTGAGTAATTTATGCATTTGCACCATTTACTGGAAAAACATTGTTCTCTTGCACACTCAGGTGACTTCTGTTTTAAAATTCATGAACTGTTTTCGCTTTTTTTCTTCTGCTTAAATAAAAAAAATGGTTGTGTAAATACATTCGGTGCAGTCACAGCTAAAAATTAGGCAAACTCAAGCACAATCATGCAGCAAAACTTAACAACCATATCTTGGGTCTAGTTCTGAACCCTTTCAAACTCCGGAAGAAAAACCCACACATTCCACACTGCTCCTGAAGATGACAATAAATAAAACGTAGAATAAAATCCACAAAACATAGATCCTTTCTACTGTTTTCTCTTTGGCGTCAACTTAAAAAAGGGAGTTCTCCTACTTGACTGTAGCTTCTTTCAATCTTTTCTATTCTGTTTTTGATCTTTCATTGTTTTTCTTTTAGGTAAAGCTAATCTAATGAAGAATAATGACCAACACAACAAGGAATTATGCTGCACATGTGTGGTGGGGGTTTTAAAGGGAAAGTTCGGTCAGCAAGGAATTATCAATGGATCATTATTTATACCTAGAACTAATACATTTGCAGTGATTAAATTAATTTAGAGTTAATCAGTAAAAAAATAAAGATAATAATTTTCGTCGCAATCACTAAATCCGGGACCAGCCAAATATAGCAACACCTCACTCCTGACATCTCTCGGGAGTGACATCACAGTGCGGTAAGTCTAGCGCCATTCTCACCGCTTTACAAGCACAATCAATGGGA